GGAGCTACATTAGTTAACTTCCAATCCTCTGGTACCTGCCCACTGTTCAAGGACTGACAAAATATTGTCGTAAGTTCGATCTTTAACCTCCTTCATAACCCTTTGGGAAATATTATCTGACCCATGAGTTATATCGTTCTTTAAACTTCATAATGTTTCCTTAACCAGCTCAAATACTTTTCATAAGTCAGAAAATTGTTTAATTACTTGAGAAAAGTAGAACTTCAGCGATTTATTCTTATGAATTCCGTAGCTGAAAACACCCGAATTGCTAAATTTTTATATCTTCACCTCTGTGTCTTTTAGGAAGATATTCCTCTTAAAAATCTCTTACTTAATAACTTATAAATAGACGTAAATAATTAATAATATTTGTCTCTGGAGTACAATTTGAAACTTTTTTCTTAGATGTAAAAGAAATTCTGAATCTTTTCATGAAGATATTTTATGACATATATCTAACTTCAACATTTTTATGTCTGTGTGACGTCACCATAAGCATAGTTAAGCCTAATTAGATTTAAACCAATGTGATAACACAGACTTGTGAATTTAAATTTCATAAAAGCTGTTTTGGTTTTTAATAACGGATTTTGCATAATTCAACTACGCAGATTTCAAAAATAATATTCATTTTTTTCTATTACGTAAGGATTTTCTACAAATATGGAAGAAGAAAAAACTCTTACTTAGATAAAATTATTATACCGTTAACCAAAATAAACATTTCTGTTATTATGTTTGTTAACAAAAATACAAACAAGCTAAAGAAAAGGGAAGAACATTGATGTCAAACGAACATGCATCTTCATTCATCCTGATTTCTTTCTGAAATCTACGTCTTTTAGTCTCAATACTACGTGTTGTGGTATTTCCTTTATGTATTGCATTATGACATTTTTTTAAGGCATGGGAGATTTTGTCTGTCTGATCGTTGAATTTCGCACAAAGCTGCTAGAGTGCTATATATATACTAATTTTGAAGCGATAGACCAGAGGGAAAGCAGCTAGTCAACACCAGCTACCGTCAACTCTTCGACTACTATTTTACCAACAAATTAGAGGCATTAAATGTCACATTATAACACCCCCACGGCTGAAAGGATGAGAATGTTTAGTGAAGGGATTCGAACCCACGACCTGCAGTTTGTGAGTCGAATACATTAACCAACAACAGGGCATGTCGAGCCTAAGCATGAAAGACTGATATTACAAATTACAGAGGCCTGCGATGGTTTTATTATCTTGATATTTTTACGTGTTTTATAGTAATTCCTGTATGCTGAATCCGAAAATGATATCCATTTTTCTCCATCACGTACACAATTTTCACATATCAATTCGTTATCAGAATAGTGTCTGTAATAATAAATACATATCAATTTGTTATCAGAATAGTGTCTGTAATACTAAATACATATTGCCTGAAATATAAGTAATATAATTAACTTACCAGAGCATGAACATTCCAATCAGTGCGTTTGTTGGGGAACCCATAGGAGGAGGTTCCTTGTTGTGGTCAAAGCGCCCTGTTCGAGCTTTCAACATAATGGCTGCCATCAGGGACGAGGAACCCCCTACAAGGTGTACTGGAGCACAGCCGGCGATGTCCACTACATTTAGCTTCCTTAAAAATCCATGTTTGCCCCATATCCAACCGGCCGGTAAACAGAACACAACCGTGTTGCAAAAAGAAAAGATACAGTATGCCACGAAGTTGCAACGTTCCGCTATGGCTCCAGAGACGATGGTTGTCGCAGTGGTAGCAAAGGACAACTGGAATATGTAAGTAGCGAAAACGGCTCCCATCTCCTTTTCATCAGCGTCGACAAAATACGACCCTACTCCGATGAAAGGGTTTGTACCTACACCTTCTCCAAAGCTCATTCCATAGCCAAACATCCAGTAACCAAGACCTCCAAATATTACGTCCACGGCGTTTTTCATCATGACGTTTACTTCATTTTTCCTGGTGACGCAACCAGATTCAAGTAATCCGAATCCTGTGAATGACGAAAGAAACATTTCTTTGTTATTATTATTATTAATAAGGCTAGTAATAAAAACTTTATTATCAGAATAGTGTTTGTAATACTAAATACCTGTAATACTAAATACATATTAGTAATACTAAATACATATTAATTCATTATCAGAATAGTGTAGACACTGTTCTGATAATAAAAATGTTTAACTACATTAATAGCTAGCGCTACAGAGTTAGTGTGTGTATCTTTTTCCAAAAAAAAACATAATGTTTAGAGACAACAAGGGATCCATTGGTCCATCTCGGCTGTCACATCCTTTAAAGTAAGCAATTATAAAATTTAAAGAAATCTTAAAGCCGGTCTTTATCATTCATATAGTTATCATGCTTTCTCCTAAACTCACTTAAATTTACTAGGCCTGTGAACCTTAACTTCTACGCAAATAATTTAAGTGATTTACGTGAAAATCAAATATTTATTTAAAATAAAATCAGAGGATAGTGGACCTTTTAGACTTTTTTAGAATATCGGCGTAGTCGTCGACTTCCACTGACTACGCCGCTTTTAACTTATATTTTACGTATATCGTATGACTCTAAAGCAATATAATGTAACAGAAATTTTTTTTTTATCAAACAACAATACTCAAAATTACGAAGTTCGTAACTTTTTAACAACAAATGTTTTTTTAAGGACTATGGGTTTGATCGTCACTGAACGATTTTGTTTTTCAGTGTGTTCGGACTTTTTAAATCATAATTTTTAATGAAAAGTAAACGTATTGGTGAAGCTCATCATAGTTTAAGGTGATATTTAGTAATTACTACTTTTAATAATTAGGATATACTCTATTCTTTCTTTAAAGTTACTTTCATTAAAAGTTTAGAGTATAATGTTTCATATATCTATTTTAATTCTTTTATAGATTTCATTTTGCATTATTAACTTAGTATGTGGATTTAGAACTAACCTAAATTTACTGAGTTGGCTGAATCTTGTGAGATACTGTTGGGTTTACGACCGAAAATATCGCTAAGAGCGAGAGTACCCAATTGAAAAGGCAATTATTATCTTTATAAGTAAGAACGTAAGAAACGTTTATTTAATTAGCTATGCTCATTAAGAAATTGATTATTAATTTTCATTCAAATGCTTTGATCAGAAGTCAACATTACATACTTTTTAAATAGATACTTGCTTTGATTGGGAACCAATATTAATTAGTTTCATCCAAGTAGGAAGCTTGCTCTGATCAACAGTTGATATTAATTACTTTTGATCCAAGTAGGAAGCTTGCTCTGATCAACAGTTGATATTAATTACTTTTGATCCAAGTAGATAGCTTGCTCTGATCAACAGTTGATATTAATTAGTTTCATCCAAGTAGATAGCTTGCTCTGATCAACAGTTGATATTAATTACTTTTGATCCAAGTAGGAAGCTTGCTCTGATCAACAGTTGATATTA